TAAACCCTAAACCCTATGCCCGAGCCACAGCAAGTGTTGATTGCAAATGCCCCGAGCCAACCAACAATCAACAGCTATAATGCAGAAAACTAATTACATAGGCCGGGGCCTTAATGATGAGACTAGGTCTGGGGGTTGCAAGAGGATACCATTGGTACGTATTCCGACCCTACTACTTCTAGTATGTCCCAAGTGGCCCGAAGCCCATCAAAAGCCTCAAGTAACCACAGACCCGACGACCTCCGTCAGGTCAAGAAAATTTGGCACCCCTTCACCCTTTGGACCCCAAGCAGGAACTTTGAACTCATCGTGGCATTGCTAGGAAGGCACCATCGTCGTCGAGGTCCAAATCAGGGTGNNAGATTGGCGAGCATGCTCCAAGACTCGTCTTGTCGACCTTGTAGTGAAAGGACAGATTTGGGCTTGGGGTTCCGGAACACAGACACAGTAAGCCAAGATGCACCGGGAGTTCGGTTTGTGGTGATAGGAGATTTATCTGTGCACGAGGGATGTGGCAGTTGCTGCTAGGTGCCATGCATTGCATCTTTTGGCAGAGTGTAGGGACACTGCCTCGGGACTACTGCGGGTCATTATCCTCACCACTCATCGCTCAGGACCGGACGGCTTGCCTGCCACAATGCGCGGGCAAAGTGTGTGCGACACGTAGACGTGCCCAAGTGATCGTGTGATTTGTTATTAGTCATGACCATGCCATAAGCCCGGATGGGCAGCCGTCAATCAAAGAAACGACGCTTTCCAACAGTGTAACTCGTAGCTTCCATCATACCTTACGCTAGTTCTCTAAATTAGGGTCCCTTTTTGACCACAAATATACTCCGGCCCCCTCAGAAAAGGGGTCCTAAAAGGAATCCTAATTTAGGGAACTACGCTCATCACTCGAGGGCCCGAAGATGCGCCTTGGCCGGCGCAGTTACTGCAGTTTGCTGGGACATGATCTCATGCACCCTTATGTGAGACCCCCGGAAACCTAAACTTCTTGTGTAAGGGAACCATATACCGAACAGCAGCTAGAATTTAGAACTGTGCGACTGCCGGAAAAAGCGAGTTCTTGGCACTAGCCGGGACGGGTCAAACTACTTACTTTAACCATGTGGCATGGGCTGTCGGAAGGCTTCCGTCAGGGAGCCAGGAGCACAACTCCCTAAACCCTAACGCCTTTACCTAAACCTAAAGCCTAAACCTCCTAAACCGAACACCCTCTGCTCTGCAGTCAGGTTTCCATCTCCAGAAAGGAAGGCATCGGGTCGAGCTGGAGCGGTGAAGGAGCGCCCGAACATCATGGGGAAGCACCGGCCCCTAGTGATCCAATGTTGCGTCTTGCCTTAAATTAAATTAATCCTGCTGCCTAACAAACCGAATTTTGCTGCTTCTGATTTCGATATTTCTGCATTAGTTCTGTTATGCCTACTACAGCACGAACCCTTATACTAGCTCTATACTAGAATAAGCCCTGACACCCCCAAACCGTGTACGGTGGGGGCAGAGGGCCTCGGTGCCTCCACGAGGTTCCTGCCAGAGCAAAAGGCCGGCGAAGCACGGAGTCCAGAATTGCTTGCGTGGCTGTCACCACAAGCACCGCTACCCATAGGCCCCTAAGTAGTTCGTTTTTTGGGATTACCTTATAGGATTCTAAATAATATGAACCACAAGAAGGAACTACTTAGGGGCCCATGGGTAGTTGTTTCCTGGTTGGATGTAAAGAGTCAGGCATTCAAGCTTCTTGCTCTTCTTCCTGTGGTCGTTTGCGTGCCGCCAGTACAACTTAGAGTCTATGCTTGGGTACACCATTTCCTGCCCCTAACGCCTCACAAGGCATGCGATCTCAGGCAATCTCGAAGAGGTTCCGAGTCTCATAGGCAGAGCTCAGTCTGAGGCTTGACAGTAGGCTTTACTAGTACGTTGCCCTCCATCTAAGAAACGCCAATGCTGTACTAACCTGAAATCCTGGGCTAATCCCGGCTCCAAACCCACATTGCATTCCAGGATCCCTACGTCCCCCCGTCCCACCCAACCCCCCGCCACCCTGCATGCTTCATGCAACCGCTGCGCCCTGCTTACGCTCTCTTGCCAAGACACAGCGCAGTACTCGCCTGGGGGGTCTCATCTGCTTCGGTTCACATGCAGGTCGATGGCATGTATGATATCATATATGCCGTGTGTTGTGGCGGTAGAAGCTTGGGATTCCGAGATGTTTGGCTCCAGGATGCCAGCAAATGCAACCAATCTGTGTGACTTAGTGGTACTACAAACTATAGATGTCTTTGTATTAGCAACCATAATATGCCGCAAAAGCCTACTATCACCCTTACAGGTGGCTTGCCTAGCAGGGTCTAGCGCAGACGAGGACATGGCAAACAAGGCTAAGTTGGCAAGAGCTAGGGGTAAGCGATGATGAATCCCACGAAGCAGTGGTTGATCACAGCAACAGTAGTTCCCACAACCATATCCTTGCGAAGATGAGAGTAGAAATCGCTTCCCCCATCTAAACACACCCCTGATAATAATAACAACAGCTATAGTTTAACTTAAGCTATACTAATCAGACTAAGAATAATTCAATACTCAACTAGAATCAGAAGCAATGAACAAGATGTCAGCAGCCTTGGAACCCCAAAACGCAGGCCCGTGTTATGCTTTTTCTGCATGGTATAACAATAACAATAATTCGCAGTCGCAGTAGTAATGACACGCTCCGGCAGATTCCCTTGAAGACATCCCCGCCATTAAAGACCTGTTTTGAATTGGGGATGCAGGAGCAAGAGCAAAAGCAACAGCAGGAGCAACAGCAAGAGGAGTAGCAAGACCACGAGCCGCAGCAGGAGCAAGAGCAAGAGCCAGAGAAGGAGCAAGATCCTGCCCAATGTAGTAGAGATGAGAACACCACCCGTAGTATAAAGAACACCTTCTGAGTTTCTATTGGGGGGAAATACTTGGGGGAAGGATTCACCCGCAGGAACAGTTACAACGTGACCATCCCTAATCCCTAAACCCTTTAAGAACCTGAGCCCCGAACGTTTAGGGTTTTCCACTCTCCATGGCTTTAGGACTCCAGGGTTTTAAGAGTTTAGGGTCCTTGGTGGTAAAAAAAAAGGATTTTGGAGTTTTTCGCCTGCGGGCTTTACTATTTGGGATGCAGGGCTCCGGCATACCAGGACCACCCCCAGCTCTGCTTTGAGCGGTGGCGCCTTGAAACTCAACAGTTGGGTCGGGTTTAGGGTTTAGGGTTTAGGGGTTTATAGGGTTTAGGGTTTAGGTTTCCTTCCCTTTGGTTTGATTAGGTGGGTTTAGCTAAACAAATCATACAGCGAGGTTTGAAGTTCAGGACACGCAAACGGGATTCGGAAGGTGTTATAAGTGTGGGTTTACTTCTTTCACGCTGCGTTAACCCAAACTAACCTCGCCCACGCATACGTTTCGGCATCCGGTTCTCGCACAACCTCGATGATGTGCAGAGTGCCCTCCTCCAACCCCTTCGTGCTCAAATATCAAAACAATGTGCATACACTTATGCAGCAAACCTACGAGCGCTCATGTCGCCAGCCGCTAGCTTGTTCGTCGTTCCGGCCAAACCCTCCACCCTAAACCTTGTCTTTGCCACCGGGTCGGTCTCTGACGGTAGCATGGTTTGGACCTAAAGGCCACATGTTCAGAGCTCAGACTCCTGACCCTTACACTCGTTCCTGCCTCGCCGTGTAGCCCACAATGGGGCAAGTCGAAGCCTCACCACGCAGAGGAAAATTCACAAAGGAGGGTTCCGAGCTTAGGGTTTTGGGGAAGCTCCCTGAAATTCGGGGTCCCTTGCTTATGGGTTCCTCGGAAGGGCCTCTAAGGAGACCGGAACCATTGAGTTCGTGCAAGCACTGAGCGAGCAAGTGCTGGAGCAAGCGAGCGAGTGAGACTAAAAGGAAAGCAAAGAGAGACGGAGGACGAGGCAGACAACGACGGTGGGAGAGAGAGGGAGATTAGAGATCGAGACGAAGCAGCAGACACCCTCGTGCAAGGACGCACACACACACACACACTCACTCACTCTCTCTCTCTCCCTCTCTCTCTCTCACACACACGAACACACAGTCAACCGAGCCGCTTTGTTTAGAAAGTCTGCCGAATAGAAACCAACCCATAGCAAAGCAACTGCACGACCGGCGGAACGGAACGTTTGCAGCGACGAACATCATTATAATGTTTCGGGTTTCTGCAAGCCAAAGCCCAACTCAGACAGGCCCGTTCCAGCCTGTCGGCAAGGTTAGCTGGCGAGCCGAAATCCTTGGCTCTGGAAGAAAGACGGTCTCCAAAAGTCGTTTGAGCGGTTTTTTTCTGAAGGGTTTCGGGGTAAGAAGTTTGGGTTTGGGGGTTGAGTCTTCCTGGGTCGGAGGTAGAGGTAGGAGGGTCCCTTGCAGGCTACCCTTTTCGTAGAGCCCCTAGAAAGCCCTTGTTTTAGCACTCGCAAAAGGCTCCTTTGGAGCCAAGCACTCCAGCGGCGCTACAGTATCACAGAACCTGGCAGAACCTTATAGAATTCTACCCAACATCTGTACGAAACCTGCGGCAAACCCTTACAGAACCCCGTTGCAGCCACATAGAACTCTCGCGCTCTTGTCAAGCCCTCTGCGAGCGAGAGGCTTCGAGAGAGGCCAGAGCCTTGGCAAACGATGGATGGCGAAGGCATGCAAGAGGTGATGTCTGTAGTCGACATCGGGGAATCGAGAAAAAGGGTATAGTTTAAGCATAAGATTAGTGAGAGAATGCAACCCGAGGGCATGCTTGACTATTCCGGGACATGGTTTAAAGTCAACTCGACAAAGCTCAAGGCCTTAACCGCAATGCTGCAACGCCCTTTCAACCAGGCAAACCCAAACCTCCAAAGCAGAAAACCTCTCAGCCGAAGCTGCTGTGGTAGCAGCCGATCCCCGCAGCTTCGAAGCTCGTGTGGAGCATCTGCGCGGCCATCGACGAAAGCCTCGTGAGTTTAGTAGTTCATTGGGTTTAACGACTTCGGGGTCAAAGGGTGCAAGGGAGAACAGCTTGTGCACATTCGCTCTCACGGCCTCTTCGGCTCTGAATCGTGCTTACCCCAAAATCTGGCATCTCACCCCTCATGCCATCTCAATCACAGCGTACATCTGCTAGAGACCCTGCAAGGGCAAGTGGTGGAAGCCAACACTTTCCGATCTTTTCCGCACAGGCGGCAGAGTCTGTTTGATGCCCCGTAAATACCACAAATGGCCTCCAAGACCGCGGTGACCAGCTTGTTTCTGGCCTCCTGTCGATTTCATGTCTTGCTCTGAAGAGCTGTGCCGGTGGAATTGGCTTTCTAAGTTCGAATGCCTGGATACGACAGCAGACTTCCAGTCCTCTGCCTGATCAGATGAGTCGTACTTAGTTCGTAGCATGCCTCGGGAATAGGACATGTAACAGCAACCCGTCATTCTAGACGTGCTTTCTCGACGAGTGCTAATAGCTGCTAATACCTTCTACATATCGTCCGTGCGCAGACCCGAAGATCTGGAACTAGAGTTGATCTTGAGGATCGGTAGCAGCTGCAAACTGAAAGTGTGAGAACAGAAATTAGCCTGTGACCCGACCTCCAAGAGGATTCTGACTACAGTACCGCTTCATAGATAGTTTCTCACAGCTCCCCTGACTTCTGCCTGAGATTTCCCAAACATCTCCTCAGAGCATTGAATGGTTCTGCAACTGAAGCAATGCCACTGAAAGCTCGAAGGTGCTCTACGCCACTGCTCTACATAATCTTAAACTCTTATGTGCAGAGGAAGGCTCAAGGCTTTTCTCAAGGCTCGTAGTGGCTCTGTCGGCTCTTCGTAGGATTTTGAGGGGTGTACATGGATCGTAGCGAGCTTCTGCGAGTCTGGCGGCGCATCCTGACAACCTGTGGGGCGAAACTGAACGATTGCAGAGGTGCAAGAAGGGGTTTGATACAAACCCAGCCTTAACTGCCCCAGCTCGGAATCAATCTTCTAACCCATCCCAAAAGATCACTTTCTTTGAGAGGCCTCGGCCATGTATTGACTTTAAGCCCTGAAGCTCTTCAGCCCTGAAACGTCTGCTTCAATCCTCATCCTTGCAGGCGGCAAAGTGCGCAAAGAGCATGCCGACCTCTTCGCGGAGCTCAAGATGAAGCTGCAACGAAGGGCTGGTGTTCCAGTTCAGGCGGAACGGAAAGCAACTGGGGGAATTTTCCCTAACCGCCCAGGTACCTACTATATAGGGCCCTAGGGGCTCTAGTACCCTATATAGTAGGTACCTGGGGTGCTAGGGTTTTGTAAAGACGGAATATGGGGGAGGGTTTTCGACTCTGACGGCTTGGGCAATCCGGGCGAGGTCTCAGTGCCCAACGGCCGCATTGGGCAGCAACTCTACGAGGGATACGGTCTAGGGTTTAGGGTAGCCCTCGCAGGGGCGTCAACGAAGTAGTCACGAAGGAGCTTCCCCGCAGCTGCTATCATCGGGCAGTGTTACTTCGATAGGGTCCTCTTGCCCAGCCGCGCACCCCAAAACCAACAAACCCAGATACCCTAAACCTTAATCCCTAAAACTGCTAAACCCTAAACCCTAAATAGAGTTTTCGGGGTTTAGGAGGCTTCAGGCTCGGAGTTTGGCTCCGGAGCACCATGGGTCTGGGATGTGCCGAACTCTAAACGCAGCTAATCTGAATCTTACGCTTCCATGGATACATGGCATGTTGAATCGATTTTCTTGATGCACCATTGGGTGCAGATGTTTCTGGCATACGGATAAGAGACAGAAGCCTTAGCTCAATGATGCATCATGCACGGACACTTCAGCTGGCATCGACCTGCTGCCATAATTGACGTTGACATGCCGCGGTTTAACATCACCCCCGTCGGACATTCGGCATGATTCTTTTGTCTCAGGCTCATGCAGGCACCACGCGCGTGACGTCGCCATGAAGGATCATCTGTCCCGATGCCTCGTCCCGCAGGACACTTCTGCCAGGACCGAAGAGCTTTTCTAGTAGGGACCGCAAGGGCTCGGGCCGTGTTCTCTCAAAAGCAAAAAATGCACATCGACTTCTCGGTTTTCAGAAAGTCTAGATGGGAACTGTATTTAGTCGTGAAGTTATTCCCCACTGAGCACAACATATACCTATGCGACTCCAAGAACGCCGCCAGCTCAGTAAACTTAGCAACATTAGCAGTTGCAGTCTGCTGCAGGCTCCACTCTGACCGGAGTCGAAGAAATTCCTTTCGTTCCCAATGCTTTCGAATCTATCTGCCAGTCTATAGACACCATTCCTTCAACCGCCGCTGTTCCTAGTCCAGTCCAGTCAAATCCGCCCCCCGCCGAGCTCGCCTCATCAAACTCGCACTTCTGGCCGTCCAGGCCAGCCTGCAACGGTTCATACGGTAGCCGTACCCATAGGCCCCTAAGTAGTTCCTTTTTGTGGTTTATATATATATAGAATCCTATAAGGTAATCCCAAACAGGAACTACTTAAGAGACTATGGGTAGGCTCACGGCCTATACCCGTGCAGGTGAGTGAGCACCTCTTTTTGTATGTGTGGTGCGCCTGCTCCCAGCCCTTCCATGCGGGCCTGGGTGATGTCTTGGTGTAGGTGTAGGCCTGTGAATGTATGCACTATATACCTCCGATGTTCAAATGCAGGCCGACACGCAAACGAAAGCACATGCCGGCTGAGAAGAACAGGAACAAACCCATACCTTGGCGGCCTCATCGAAGGCCTCTCGCAGACGTGCTGCAAAAGCGGCGACGGCCATATTCAGCTCCTACCAAGATGACAAAACTGATGAGAGAGCAAAGTTTTGCGCACACTGAGCTGGAGGAGTGGGACGCGGGCGTTTCGACTACAGCCAAGCTGGACGGTGCCGCGGCTGGCGGACTTGTGGTCCGTTTGGCTGGGGCAAGGACAACATCTCGTGCTCAATAACGGCAGTTCATTTTGAGACCACCGAGTTCTGTACTGCCGAACCAGCTCCAAACAACCTTTACTGCTGTTAGCTAGCCGGAGGTACATGCCGGACTCCGCAATGCTCAACGCTGATCGCTGGGGAGACGAGGCCTCTGTGATCCCGGAAGCCTTGCTCTTCTCCAGGGCGGCCGGTTTGCTTCTGCTGCGGTCCCCTTTTCTGGCTGCTTTGAAGCTTGGGCTTTAAAGCTCTAGTCACAAACACTTGTCCCAGGCTTTCCCTGCTTCGGAAGGTGCTTGTCTAATAGGGGTCTGCAGTGGAGGTCTTGCTACGGTAGTCTTAGGGCCAGAACTCTGCGAGACTGGCAGCGAGCAATGGACATTACAACCTCCCTGAAACATAATCGTAAGAACCAAATGGTATGAAGCTCTGATCATGCTACAATACAATGGAAAAAGACACGTATGTCATCCTTACAATACAAGAAATGAGCATCACCTTAGCTTCTTGGAGGCTTCCGCTGGATTCAGCAAGGCAAAACTGCATGTGCCGGACCCTTCCCGCACGCTTGAGCCAAAACGGGGTCACGGGATGTATAAATGTAATAATAATATGTAGACGTTGTGGGTTGACGGTGATTTCAAAGGGTTCACACTTTATTTCTAGCACTTGTACCAGGGGGTTGACGGGGTTCAAGGTTTGTAGGTTGAATATAAGGTTCTATCGTTTTTACCTCTCACTTGTCAGAGAACAATGCTCACAAGCGAGGTTCTGACCTTGGTATGCAGGGTACAAGGTCCGCATTTCGAGGCTTAGCCTGCATGTTTCCTGGTCGACATGAAATTTTCAAGGGTTCGTCAATGTAGTTTCCGCATAGCATGGCACAAAACCAAACACGATGTTGAACTTTGAATAAAAAAGGTACAGGAATGGACCCTGTAACTTCGACTCCGGGTGGACCAACTGAAACCGGAGAGTCTGCACTCTCGGTCCCCAGAGACCATAGCGCAGGCAGGCACTCGAACGGACCAACAGCACCGTGTTCGGAATATCGTTTTCACATGTGACGTCTTTAGGCAATGTTGTCATGACTTAAACAAACTTTCGCGTCAACCGCAGGATCCGTATTCCCATGCGCAGCTTCTGAGCTGACCAAGAGATGCCAACAATCAGTCTTGAGCTGACATATTCAGCCTGTGCAGGGTCCTGAAACCCCCAACTCTACACATTATGTTATATTATACTATATTATATGATATTATGTTAGACTAACCCCAACGAGACCCCAAGAAGAAACCAGTTTGTGACGTTCTTTATGCGCCTGGAGGTCGCCAGTTCAGCGGTAATCTCAACCACGCAAAGGCACGGCGCATCACCCATAGGGTTTATAGAAACTATCAAGAGGACTATATTTAAGCACAAGGGATACTATAAGCGGCTACCATCACGTTCAGTATAAAGGGCTACCCTGTGGGATACCATAAGAGCTGCTATATCGGGAATTACTATAATAGGGGGTGCAAGGATGACCCACTACAAGGGCTGCTGCAAGGGGAAGTAATACGGGGCACTGCAGGGTCTTCCATGGTTTCGTGCCGCAATAGCTTGACCAAGAAGCTATTTACACAATCACACTTAACCCTAAACCCTAAACCCGACTTGGTCTCCTAAAGACTTAAAGAAGATCCTAACCCCGCTTTAACGTCCCTACAGAGCATGAACCCTGAACCGCAGAAGCCCTCTCTCGGCACCCGTCGGTGCCCTGTTCCCCTTATGCCGCGCCTTACCTAGAGTAGACCTTGTAGTAACCCGTTGTAGCACCCCTTATGATGACCCTGTTGTCCCACATGTCCCATGGGCTCTGGCTCTTTAAAGTTTACCGAAGCCCTTATGGTCTCTTCTTATTTTACTATAGTACCCCCTTGTTCCCATGGGCTCTGGCTCCATTTGGGCACGTACCCCCTAAGCATCGTAGCCCTTATGGTAACCACGTATAGTACTTATTATATCCCTCATGTCCCCTTCTTTAGCTGATGGCGCTGACCTCGTCCGGGCTCGATCTTCGAGCCCCTGGATGAGAAACTAACGACTGATATAGAGGCCTCAATGGGTTAAGGGTCTGACCGTTTTGGTCTGTCTCTGTCTCTGTCTCTGTCTCTGTTTCTGTGTCTCTATCTATCTATCTATCTATCTATCTATCTATCTATCTATATATGTATACATACACACCCGTGGAGTCTTAGGAATCATATAGCTGCTCGTCAGGCCCGCATATCAGTTCATGCAAGGAGGCAGCTAGCTGGACCTGCTTCGGGCTTCGCGTGAAATCCAACTGCGACACTACCCGCCAGATGCCTCATACGAGGGTTCACGTTACACTTGCTTGCGATGGGCAGGAACTGGGATCGAAACTCTCGACGAGGTGGCTCGTCATGGAGCATACTTCAACAGCATGACTCAGACACTCTTTCTGAAAGTGCTGTGCTTGAGCTTCGTCGTGGTGGATGACCAGCTGATATGTCGGGGACTGCAGGGGTTGAGCCTTGTCCGAATCCGTGTTACAGCACAGCTAGGCTAGGCATGCATCCTTTCTTCCATCAAGCCCTCACGATTAAACCGCAGCCCTAAATCCTAAACCCTATAACCTTCAGTGAACTCGGGTACGGGCATGCGGAGTTGAAGCCTGGAGCGGCAAGTCTGACTTGGGCTTCTGATGGTCCTGCATCTCCCTACTCTTGGTCGGAGATGGGGGGCCGTTCTGCCAGCTTGGCTGGAAGGAAGGCACCATGGCAAAGGGGAGGCTTCCAGAGAGGCTCTTCTCATAAACCTATCGAGGCATTCTAGCAGAGAGGAGTGGATCTCTTAGGCATTCTGTTCCCATGACTTGACTGCCTCGAGGTCTACACCAAGATGATATGTCAGCATGCTTGATGTTGACTCCCCTTTGTGGTCCGAGACTTGGGGAAGCACGAACCCGGGCCCTAAGCATCTTGGGCGATTTGAGGCACTGGAAGTCCATTCTCATCGGGGCCGAGCTTCAGATGATGGACGACACCTTATCTTGCAAGGCACACCAGGGATCGAAAGTCATCCTGTGGGTTGCGACCCCTTGAAACGGCTCGTGCCATCGGGTGCTTCGGCCTTCTTTGCTGGGATCTGGGATATCGGATTTTGGATTATGGGATTCTGCGCACTATCGACCGCGATACTAGCGGAAACCTTACTCAACGACAGTGGCAGGTCTGGTCTCGCCTTGAGGACTCATGGCTGGGACAGTACAATCCCTTCCTTCCTGATCTTAGTCGCTGGATGCCATGTCCGAGCCCTGCCAGTAGCCAAGAACCCTGTCACACCCTACCTGCCCGTGAGGGGCTGTAGACTGCAGTCTCATATTCAATCATTCACACAGCGCAGCTTTTTTTCTGTCCCAGCTCACGGCTCCGCTTAAGCCCTCTTGCACGCCGGTGAGCCAAGTGCGCTGGATGAAACTGATTGACATCCTTCAGCTCCTCCGAAACCGAGCTGCTGTCCCCACCTGCTGCAGGACAGCCCCAGGTCACCACCCTTCCGTCTCTGCGGAGGGCTGCGAAAGCGAAGGAGGTGCTGCGGATGAGGAGCACATCCTGAAGCTGCTCCTGGTATCCGAGAGACAGGCAAGACAGGAAAGCAGGTGAGCAAATGAAAGAGATGCAAAAAGAGAGGAAGAACGAAAGGATTCAGCATACATCGTGCGAAAACGGAAGCAAAGAGGAAAACATCCTTTGCGTAGTACCACTGCCCTCTCCTTCACGGTATTGCAGTCGCCACCACAGGAGGTGTCTCCCCAGGTCACGACAGAGCCCCCGACCAGGAGAGCGGCAAAGGCTGCACAGGTGGACTCGATCCGCTCGACGGACTTCAGCTCCTCCTGGACATCTCGTGCTTCGAAGGCATGGGAGCCTCTGTAGAAATGCTTGCAACAGATAAGGATTGATCTCTGTCTCTTCTCTGCCTCTCTCTCTCTCTCTCTCTCTCTCTCTCTTTCCCTTTCTGTCTCTCTGGGCCTGGACGGCTTGGCTGTTCCCTCCAGCGGATGCATCTCCCCAGGTGACGACGGATCCATCACCGAGGATGACAGCAAAGGCATCCGCCGTGGCCTCCGTTGCGACATTCCAGCATGAATGACGGGCTTCGGTAGTGAGGCTCCGAGGCTCAGTCTCTAACTCCCAGATGATGCAACTGCGGTAGGAGTGAGACTGATCTAGACGATGGCGAGGAATGTGCACTTTGGGAACAAGCACTTGATCGGTAAATGATGGGGCTGCAGCTGAATTTGATGGTTGCTATGACGGCTGCAACAAGGACGACGGTCCGACCATGGTGTGACAGGAGCTGTTGCTGCAGTTGATGTTCATGATGATACTTGTGTTGCGTTGGGGCCTGGCCGGGACTGTGATGCCAGCTGACTACGACAAGGTGATTTTAGATAATACTGACGATGACAACTCGCGGCGCTCATGGCGATGATTCTGCAGCTGCAGCTGGTGTCGATGGGCTTGGTGCTGATGTTCGTGACAATGGGAAGAACAAGCGTGGACAATTAGCAGGATTTAGCACACTGCGATGACAGCCGGAATCGAAGCATGACACCTTCTAGCACCATGTCTGAAAATGCGGCTGCTTCTGCCAGCAAAAGGCCTGCACGAGCTGCACGTCGCGCAACTGCGACTGGACATCAGCCGAGTTTCCCCCAAAGCGAGAATGACCCCATGTTACAACCTTGCAGTGCGCAGGATCGGCAGATGCTAGTATGAACACAACGGTGAGGAGCGAAGAGGATTCTTATGGTTGTGGTGAGTTGTATGGTGGTGATGGCGATGGCTAAAACGAGAAACTGCTCTCTTCATGATAAGGATGAAGATGGTGACGACAGCAGCAATGATCAGTGTAATCATGACGAAATCGCATAGTACGGACATTGATGTCCACGATGATAACGATGTTGTGCATGGTGTTCATGGGTTCCGTGAAAAGGGTTTTGCTGGAGCGACAGACTGGGTCACAAGGGCGGAGATCCATTACGAGTGTGAATATTACTAAGACGAATACAAATGCTATTACTAATGCGAAGACTAATACTTGCAACTAGTATTAATAAAATTAATAACTAATAACTATGAAGTTTATACGAATACCGGAGCATTCTCTCCGCCTGTCAATTATTTCTACCGAGGCAACCGTCCCATCGCTCCTCAGCGCAGCAAAGGCTGCAGCAGAGGATTGCAGATGCCGGACATCATGGAGCTGCTCCTGCCACACTCTCAATCACCACAACCAAGATAACACAGTCGGGGTATTACAGCAATGACAGGCAGAATTTCACATTGCACAACTTTCTGCATCGCACTCTCTGGTATACTGCGTTTGAGGAGATACAGTAGTACTGACATCTTGTTTTGCAGAAGATGCCTCTTCAGGCACATATACATGCACACGTGTGATGCTTGCCCCACCACCTTGTCGCAGCGTCGTCGCCGCGCTAGAATGCGCAAACACACTCTGCACTCACTTCTTCGCTGGAGCGGCACCTGGACATGTTCGCTGTCCCCACTATAGTCTGCATCGCCCCACGTCACCACAGAGCCAGACGACAGCACGGCAGCGAACGCTCGCTCCGTAGCCTTCATCTGCGTCGCCTTCTCTGAAAGCTCCTCGTCGACTTACGGGAGCAAATGGATATTACACTATATTATATTATGTTATGTCATATTACATTGTATTATAGTATATTATATTATGACTCTGGAACCGACTCCCCAGTCTCCCATGGAAGAGTCGGTGCGGCTTGGAGTTGCTGGCCTTCTGCAAGATCAGGCCCAACTCGTTGCGACCCCAACCTAAGCTCTTGCAGCGTGTGCACGTTGTACAGGCTCGTAGTGTGGTTCGGCATTTATTAACTGGCAAACGATATACCTATAGACCTAGATGGAAGCAACATTGAAGGCCGAAGGTTATCAACTTGCACAAAGACTCCCTAAACCCTAAACCCAATTCATCCGAACACGCCCTGACCCCTCAAAGTCGCTGCCGGCTAGCAGGTCGACCTCCTGCGAACCAAGTGGCTGAACACCGTCCCATCAGCCAGGCGCGCTGCCATCGAATGTGCGGTGGCCTCGAGGTCCTGCTAAGTACAGCATGCCTCGAGCGCCCTATCCAAACTAGTACGATGGAAGCTGCAGCCGTCCTTGCTACCAAGGCCGGCAAGTTTATCTGAATCTATCTGCGCAGTGCAGCTGATTGAAGTCATTTGCGATTCCAAGGAAACCGTCAACCCCACTAGTTTGAGGACACAAGACCAACCAAAGGCAATTTCCAAATGGCCCGCGGTCCGTATCAGGAAGCATACATGCAAAACTACGAAGGGGTGTACAAGAATGCCTGCAGCATCCTGACTACAAGCTGGGAGCCTAGCAACAGCCTCGCAGTGATTAGCTGATGCCTAGTTATGTTATATTATATTATATTATATTATATTATGTTATATTATATTATATTATATTATGTTATTTTATCTGGAACCTGAGTCCTAAATCCAGGACGCCAGACCCGAACTCGAATCCCCAAATCCAAAGTCCGAACTGTACGTAAATTGGTAAGCCACCAAATCCAAAACCATAGAGTAAGGGGTTTAGGGGTTTAAGGTTTAGGGTAAGTCCCTGTAAAGTCTATAGCCACCAAAGCCAGCACTCAGATTCTCCTGAAGATCCGTGAGCCGGCTTCGAAATCCCAAGGCTTCTAGCTCCTCTCGCATGTAGGCGCCTCAGCTGTGGGTTTAGGGGGTTGGGTATGGGCTGGGCTTAAGGGTTTAGGGCTTAGGATTCAGGTTTCGGGGTTCAGCTGGTCTCTCCCATCAACCTCCAGTTTGTATTCTTAGACCCGGAGCTCCTTGTGAAGGTGCTTGGTGCGTACGATGGCAAGGCAAGCATGGCATTCGTTAGTGATTACTTATCTTTGTTGTTGCACCGAGAAGCGGCTTAGCAAGAAGCCAGTCAAATTCCCGATTCCAGACGGTCTTTCCCACCAACTGAAGCAGCTGGCAGAACCTGTTCTTTACTACAGGCCGGATAAGGTAACAAAACCCTAGACTAAACCTTGATGACACAGTTCATATTTCCGAAACCTCAAACTAACCCAAGGCACCCCAAAGCACGGTGGAGCCATCTTCAATCTTCGCTGCAAATGCACCGCCAGTGGCCAAGATCTCCTTCGTGCGGTGTAGAGGCTTTCGAGACAGAAGGGTTAGGTCTTCGTACTTGATTCTAGCAAGACGCTTCCCCCACCCACGATGCCCATTCATACCCCTCAAAGGTATAGTCACGAGTCACTACAGTTTTGGCTATGCTCTTGTAGGCGACTTGCAGGAATTGAGTAGAATCGACTGGCACCAAAATGCCAAACCCTGCGCGAAATATTCGCAATGTACCGAAACCACCTGACCCTGGAACATTCAATGTCCTTGGCGTTCTGAACGTCCGGCTGCAGGCAGGACCCCTGAGGATCAGGGCTTATTTCCAGACGGCTCCCAATCAGTTGTTCGGATGATGAAACAACTGTGGAGCACCGCAGAGTGCGTGTAAGAACATGTAAACTCAATGTCTGACTGCCTTGGTGTGTACACGCGCATATGTATGCACGTACATACACATCTGTGTACAGATGTATACGCAAGTGTACGCATACACACATACATACATACATGCATACATACAAACAAACATACACATAGACAAAGAGGCTTTCATGTACTTCATAGTACTTATAGATACCCACATGTATATACATCTTTGTACAACCCCATGCAGGTGAAAAGACATACGTATATGTGCGTCAGTATGTGACTTAATACGAATTACTAAGCAAAAACACGCTTTTGGTCATGTCTCTGTGTGTGTGTGTGTATTTCTATCTATCTATCTATCTATCTATCGATCGATCTACCGATCTATCGAGCTATCTGTCTATCCATCTATCTATCTGTAGATAGATATAGATATAGATAAAGGCAAAAATATAGGTATAGGTATAGGTCCAGGTCTAGGTATAGATGTAGATGTAGACATATAGATATAGATATAGATATAGATATAGACATAGATATAGATATAGATATAGATATAGATATAGATATAGATATAGATATAGATAGGTTGGTATGATTGCATATGATATGACCAGATATGATATGATATAATATGCTATGCCCTCTTCGTGGATCTACCTTCTTCTGGCTGGGTACACCTCACCCCAAGATTGCAGGGCCCCTGTGGCCCTTTTGGTCTTCGCCCTGATCCGGCAGAAAACGATACAACCTGTTTAGGGTTTAAGTTTAGGGTTTCAGGTTTACGGATGTATCCGAGAGCAAACAGTGCTGAGCGGTGTTTTGGGGGATCTTGGATGCACGAGTCTTGCCCTACAACTTGGACGGGTTCTGCAAGGTGCCACTCTCTTTTGCCCTTACAGCCTAAGCCCGAATTGCTGACTGGACAATTACGAGGAAGCCCTGAATCAGATGTGCCCTCGGGCATGAAAGCTCCGCGCAGAGAGGTTTGTCAGACCCTTGTTCAACATCATATTCTCTTCATGCAAAAAACGCGTAAAAACGCAACAGCTGTGTAAAAAAACTGTTGCCAACATGCCCCGAACCTGATGCTCTCCTTAAACCGCTTTCCCACTGGGCTCCGGTCTGGAAACCAGGAACCCTAAATTCTACTGCCTTAAAACCCACCTCGGCCCATTGGGGTGAGCCCCACGTCAGCACGGAGCCATCTGCCTGCAAAGCAGCGAAAGCCTCTGCTGCACCTCAGAGAATGCCAGGATTCCTTGAGGTCCTTTTGAGCTCTGCAGGATCCAGCCGGTTGCTGCAAAAGTTATGAGTACCCCTAACTGGGATGGTCCTATTTCGTTGCTTTACCATAAGCTTCTCGGCAGCAATGCTTTGATGCTTCAGGGCTTCATATTCCATAGCTTCCCGGAATACAGATTCATGGCTTGAAACACTGGAAGGATCGATTTAACATCCAGCTTTCGCTCAACATTTGCACCTCTTCGGCGCCCCCGAAGCATTTGACCCCTGCATCTCCAACTCGGACGACTACTCTCGAAAGCGAAATCCTTAAACCCAGCTGGCCTAAATTTGGAGCTTCTGTAAAAAGGGTGCAAATACAACCATAGTGCATGATCTGAGGCTGTAGAGTTGGATGATATGAGGGTAGGGTGGCGTATAGTTCGTTGTGCAGTTCAAGGTCTTTGGCAGCGGTGGCGCCCTCCACTTTGTCCACGTTTCTCAGGTCTTCCGGAGCGGAACATCGTTTTCCACCGAGGAAGCCCCATGTGAGCACAGTTCCTTAGGATTTGAAGATAGGCCCCTAGAGCCGAGACCCCGAAAACTACATCCTACAAAGCATTAAATTACCCACAGGCTCCTAAGTAGTTCTTTTTGTGGTTTTTTTATGGAATCCTACAAGGTAATCCCCAAAAAGAACTACTTGGGAGCCTATGGGTAAACTCTAAACCCACAGCCTGCCAGCCCGAAGCTCCTTAAAGTGAAGTTTCGACTGACGGTGGGCCGCAGGCGGTCGGATTAAATTGGGATTCTTGTTGCGCTCAGGGTAGCGAAGCTGCAATCTGAGCCTGAACTCAAACCCTTACGAGTGATATGGGAAATTATTCAGGCTTGTGTAGCACTGGGCAGATCATGGGCCAAAAATCCTTAAACCCCAAGAAATAAACCTCGAACTCTACACCGCCAGGCCTTAAACCTCAAGCCCACGGCCCAAAACGAAACTTTGCAAACACTTAAGCCCCATACCTGTACCTGAAACCCACTAATCAACCCTAAACCCGAAGGGTGTAGGGTTTAGGATTTGGTGCAGGGTTTAGGGCCATGCCCAGTCTCCGTTCACTCGAACCAACGCGAAGGCACGGGAGCTCGAGTACAAAGCTGCCTGGCAGCAATTTACTGGGGTTCTTGTTCAGGGTTTATGGTTTAGGGATTTAAGTGACCATAATAAGGATCCATAGCAAATAGTAGGTTTTCCTTATTCTGGTAGGTTCTTGTTGAGGGGTTTAATGTGACCATAATAAGGGTCCATAGTAAATAATAGGGTTTCCTTATTCTGGTACCTTAAATTAAACCCCCTAACAAGAACCCAGTCCAAGGGGTGTTTCCCCTGCAGGGTTTAGGGTTGAGGGGTGTAGGGTTTAGGGGCCACGGCTGATCCTACGTCATTTCTTTGTCAAGCGAGATTGATGATTCACTAGTATCTGTTCATAAAGGTGTTTTGTTGATGCTTCTCTCTATCTTGCGACATGTGGCCATTGTTGATGCGGTCATTCCTCATGGCTATTCCCCGTTGTCACCTACCAACTGCCGGCGCATGTTGCAGGAGACTGCTGTCAAAAACTAGGAGTGCAGACTCATTGTCCGTGACAACAGTCACTTTCCTGTCATGGCTTCGTGCTTCCAGGCATGACAGCCTCATGTCGCGGCAGCATTTGGGTGGTTTCGGGCGCCGCTTGTGTTTCAAGATCTGGTTTCTCTGGGCAAAGAATAGAGTGCGTCTTTGGGGACCAGCTTTCCGGGCTCCGCGTCGTATTTGGAACAGCTTCTATGGGCTGTCCGATTGCAGAGGGGGCTGTACTAAGAATCAAGTACCCTGAGCCGAGGCTAGCATGACTCTGCCAGAAAATGGCCACACTGGGCCAAGCACAGAAATCTTTACTGCCACAGTAGCGACTGCCGGCACCTAAAAACACCCTTTGACATCTGACCATGTTCGCGTGTTACACCACTGTGGCGGAGCATACATGCTTTCTGGGTGTCGAGGGGTCAGTCATTTTGCGCTAGTTATATGGCCTTGCGAGCAATCGCCGTCAAAATGTCGCCGTCCTGGAGATGCCAAGCCCAAGGACACACAGTTACTTGACTCAAAGGCTTCAGATGAAATCCTAGTTAAGCACAGACAGTGGCTTCGAGTTAGCATGTTGCATTTTTCACCCGGAACCTGCCCGCATCATCCCCATACAGAGTTGAGGGTTAGGGTAGCATTGGCCGTTTGGGCTCTGTCCTGAATGCCGGCGGCAGCCATGGCATCCGAGCACTTCAGGGGAGAGCCTTGCAGCCCGAACTTCAGCTAAATACTACAAAGGACATGAAGACTGAAAAATACTATTAATCATCATCATCATCATCATCCGCATCACCATCACCTTCTTCTTCGTCATCATCACCATCATCTACATCTAAATGGTCTGCAAGCTTCGAGATTTTGGGCTTCACGAGGTCTCAGGTCCGGCATATTCAAAGTGTTATGGGAACCCAGCTTCAGGGATTGCGCTAACGTGAGTAGCATGTAAGGATATGAGGCCAAGATCTGCTACAGGGGCCTACATAATTTCCAACACTACTTTTGGCCTCCAGTTGTAACTACAAAAAGCGCTGCTCTGATCCTCAAGGCCACCTATATTGGGGGCTCTCTAAGTCAGGGACCCATTCTACTTGGGTTCTCACTATGTCACTATGAGGTTGAGCGTAGTCTTTCGCAGGTCCCGAGAGCATGCCGGCATGCACATAGACTCATAGACGTCAACTCCCACACCAAACTGTCGAAGCTTTTGCCTTCAAAGGCAAGAGCTCACAGGAGATCCTAGACCCTATAATTCCCAATCCACGGTCCGAAGTCTCTATAAAACTACCCACAGGAACCGCAGGAAAGACAAGAAACCAGGCAGAGCGGATTGCTGAGGGTTCCGGGACAGGGTGTGGGAGCTTCTCGTCGAAACTATCAGGGACATACCTCGCAGCTGAGCATCCCGTAGAGCAGATCAGCCAGCGGATGCCCACTCCTTGGCTGGGACCCAGCGTTTAGGGTGCAGGGTGTAGAGCCGTAGAGACGATGACAGGTGTGATGGCTGTGATGGTTACTGTATCAGCACTGCCACTCTCACCATTGATGGGGCTCTTCTCGCTTGATGGTTTGGATGTTGATGACTGGTACGGGCGATGGCTGTTCACATGGAGGGGATGCTGCTTGCTTTTGAAGATAAACTGTGGGTCTGCCAAGCTGACGGTGGGCAGGAGAGGCGCCGGAACCCTAACATCAAAACCCGAAGGCTTACCCGTCATTAATTGGTGTTTAGAACACTTTCTGCGTCCCATATGCCTCGGGGTGCATCTTGGAGCCTCATGCGGCAGAAGCCGTCGGAGTCGACAACTGCCCATGGGCCGCACTATTCCTGATGCCTCAAGAACCATTGGAACATGGCAAAAGCCCCAGGTCGAGACATCTTCAAAACCTAGACCCCAAAACGTGATGCATGAATCCCAAAACGTCCAGAAGCCTGTTAATGTAGGGGTCCTTTTAATTCAGCGAATAAGGTTTTGGTGCATATCGCACGATAATTATAGTAAGGATCCCAGTCTAATTATTTAGGCCCCTATATTGGTCTTCCTGTTGGCACAGCGTCTCAGCTCATCCTGAGCTCTATCGATGAGGTCCTCAGCAGACGGGTTCTAAGTTTGCAAGTTACGAGTTGCAGTGAGCATGAAGTCATGGAGTTCGTGCATCACCCGACAAGGGATATTGCAACCATCCAAGCACAAAAAGTTAGACCTCAACTCCTCCCCCCCCCCCCCCCCCCCGCAAGACTTCCCGACCCACTTCCCCACACGAGTCACTCCTGCACCGTCATGTCCGATGCCACCTCCAGAGCTGTCTCCACCCCGCTCAGCAAGGCCACTGTCACCCGCATGGCGAGATCTTGTGAGGTGTAGCAGGTCACACTTGTGAAAGGCACTTTGCTACCAACCCTGATGATGGTGGAGCTAAATTATGAAAGTGTCAATACCTTCGTCTCGATGATCATACTTCAGACTCATACAGCTGTTCTTGTCTGTAGGTCTGTTTGCAACCTCTCATGGCTGCTATCAACTACAGCGTCAGCCTCAGCTTTGGAAGACGCCTCCGGCAGTGGACAAAGTCATAGCTGAAGCACCGCGCTGCAATCGACATCCTGAATCTATTCTGTTCCAGTTGCCTGGAAGTAGAGGTCTAACATGATGCCTTCGGGCCGAAACGAGGCCTGAATAGTTTGACTGGGGCTTGGGGCATATAGGAACCCGAAGGAAATAGTGCTTATAATTGTTTGGGCTTCTACATTTTTTGGCACGAAGGAAATTCTGAGTTCTGCCTTCACTTCAGGCTCCGGGAACTCATGGCTGAGGACTTTGTTGGTGCTTTTTCCCTCCCTGGCCGGCGATGCTGCAGAAATACATCCCTAAACCCCAAACCCCTAAACCCTAAACCCTAACCCTACCTACCATTCTCTAAGCCTGTCGGCTCTATATACACCTCGAATTCCAGAACAAACCCCAGGATTCCAACCACAACTCCTAAATTCAAAAAACCGTGAACCCTATAAATCCCCAAATAAAGTCCAAAGCCAAAATAGACTCAAAACCCTCTAGAACGCAAACTCAAGAGCCACAATGTACCTTAAACTGCATAACGTCCTAGAGACTCTTTGCAACACACCTGGAGGCATCCTAAGAAGCCAACGGTCCATGGTTCGCTCCATGCTCCTGCTTTCCATACACCCCAAATGTCATAGCGTCTTGGGGTTTTGGGGGTTTTCGAATGCTGCTGTATGTGTCTCAGGGTTATAGGATTTGTTTGTGTGTTCGGATATTGGGGTTCAGTATTTTGTGCTTTAGGTTTCAGGATCTTCTTCTGTTTCCGTCCATCCCCTTGTCTGGGCAGCTGTCTACTCAGACTCTTTCTTGGAGAATGGCCCGCCATTCCTCCAATAGCACCTTGATGCCACGGGAACTGCTGATACGAGCAACTGCTGCAGGGTCGTGCCGTGTCCACCATCGTCGTTATATGTCGTTATGGCACATGTGCGACATGAGCTTCCACAAAAAGGCGCAATCGCAAAGGTTCGGACATGAACAACTGATGGGCACGAGCAGCTACGATCAAGAAGACATTTTTGATTTACTTCTAAAATATTCCGTGCACCATCGCAGGGCCTAAACCCCGTCCCCCAACACTAGGCTGAAGACCCGAAGCAATAGCTTTGTCATGTTGTGCCTCGTGCAGTCAACAGAACCCATTTGTGGGAGGCTGCAATCGGCTGGAAGCTGCTGAAGAAGCTCCTGTTGCTCAGCGCCTCCACAAGACGCTACACCCAAGGCCCTCCCATAATGGTATATATATATATACATATGTATACATAAATAAATAAATAAATATATATATATACATTTACATTTATATTTATAGATTCATGAACATACAAGCACCCTGAACAGAAAACCCTAAACCCTGTACCCTAGAGCCTTTATAGACTGAATTTTAAGCCCCATATATTTCCTGAGCTCTATAAACCCTACCCTAAATCTCCTGTTGTGCAGCGCCCTCTCGAGATCCAGGAGCTCCTTGCCACAGACACTACACCCTAAACCCTAAACCCTAAAACCCTAAACCCCTAAACCCTAAAACCCTAAACCCCTAAACCCCTAAACCCTAAAACCCTAAACCCTAAAACCCTAAACCCTAAACCCTACATAGAACAGGGTTT